ATGTTGTCGTGCTAATCCAAAAGCGGCCAAAAAGGATAAGGACAAGGACAATCAGAGTAAAACGGACACTAAACCAAACGAACAGCTCCCCAGTCCAGCGACTCAGGAGGAAGTCAAACCGAATGGCAATGTCTCAGCGCCAGAGCCAGAACCGGAACCAGAACCGGAACCAGCATTCAAAACCGAACCCCAAACCGAACCGGAGCCAGCAGAGACTGTTAATATTGAGCAACCAACTGGTATTCACAAAAATGAATTAACATCTAGCACTTAGTACTTAATACACACAACTAGAAATGCGATTACACTCCTCTGCCCCCCGGCAGCTCTACCACACGCTGCGCTAATGTGTGTGTGTGTGCGTGTGTGCTTTGCACTTGGGCACAGGTCCCTGGAGCTTGGCTCCCAAAAAGCCCTGCAACAGCGTTTGTCCGGGACCTGCGTCGCCTTCAACACTTTTATTATTTCGCCAGAGCACGACCTAGTTTAACCTTCAGCCAAAGTCACCAAATTGCTTTCAGACACGTTTTCTCTTTGTATATCGGGGCATATAGACGAATACCTCTTGAAATTTGCATCAGCATCTAAGTTTATGAATATATAGTTCTTTTCTAATCTTGACAAGCTTCATATTTGGCTTAAATACTTTTCGTTTCAAGAAGAAGCAATCGGAATCTAATGTATCCATTCCTAGGTCAAAGATAGTCTTATATGAAGTAAACATTTATTAGAAAATACCATATAAATTTCAGATTTAATATAAATCTTAAGTATTCTTATAATAGATAACAGATGAGTTTACAAGCTGGACAGCGGGAGGTTTAAAGGTTCTTCTTAGCTCAACCTCAACCCTCTGTAGAAATGAAACATTATTAAATCCGCATTCGATTCAGTTCCCTGACCAAATATATATATGTGCGCTGCTTTGTGTCGCATCTTCACAGCCCTTGACATAGAAGCCAACGACGCAGCAGCCGCCACGCCAACGCTACGCTCGACGCACTCATCCACATCCACAGCACCGCCTGCATCGATGACCAGCGCAACGGAGGATGAGCCGGCACCGCAGCAGCAGCAGCAGCAGGAGGCGCCGCCGGCAGCTCATGCGCCGCCCACAAGGAGCTGCCTCTCGCGGCACAATTCAACGCATCATTCGATCAAGAAGAAGGTCAATATTAGCACACGGGCCGAGATCATTGAGCCGAAGCCGTTGACCAACTCGCTGCTGTTGCTGGCCAATCACAATAACAACAACAACTCGCTGGCGGATGACGATGAGGTCTTCTCGGACTCGCTGCCGCCGCCCAAGCGGGAGAGCATGTGCGCGCCGTACATTGAGGGTGAACAGCTGCCGGCCGGAACGTTGGCCCTTGCCCACGGACTGCCCGCCTGGTTTGATGACGAGCGACTCAATGAGATGTACGCGTTCTCTATCGTTAAACGACAAAAATTCCCAACCAGTTAAAAAACTCTCTTCTCTCTATTGTTGTTGTTGTCATTGTCTCGTTTGTTGTACGCATGCAGCGGCTGCATCGAGCCACCCGTCACGCCCGTGGGACGCGATGAGCTGGAGCTGAAACGTCAGCGTCTCTACACGGAGCTGCTGCGCGCCGCACACGCCGCCGTGGAGCACAGCGTGGCCGTGCGTGGTATGAATCAATACAAAATCAAAACGGATTTTTTCCGTCAACTTCGTCTACGTTCGATTGGCTTGCATGCATGCCGCGTCTTATCGTTAACAAGTTTTTCTTTCGAATTTGTTTTGAAGAAGCGTCATCTGTCCTAAACGTATAAATATATTTATATTCGTTGTATGTTGAGTTCACATAACACTTTGAATTGCCAAGAAATGCACTCTATCAAAATGTTCTTAAGTTCTACACGATATTATTTCTCTATTCCAAAAGTGGCCATTTCTTCGATATGCGATGAAATTTAAATTAAGTAAGCTATATTTCGAGAGAGTTTCACTGAGAATTCCCAGGAAATTCAATCTTAGTTTAATACGAATTTTTCTAGAATTATTTTTAATAATTTTTCTTGAATGCAGCATTTAAGTAGAAGTATTACACAAAAACTTCTCTTCCTTCCTGAAATTCTTTTTTAAACTTTTATATGATCGCTTATCAAATAAAAAATATATTTCGAAAGCCTTTCACTTGAAATTCTCCAGAAATTCACTCAATCAATTATTCTAATGCTACTTTATCTATGAAAATTCCTTTCCTATGATAAAATATATCTTTTATTTAAATACATATAAACAAGAAAACATTTGCAAATACGTGAGGTATTACAAATTTATTATAGCTATACATGAAATCTTATTCAAATCTAATCTTATTTATTTGAGAAATATTTGTATATATCTATATATTGTATCTCACATTTATTTTGTTGTTTATAAAACATGCACAACTTGAATATATTGTTTAATGTTTAAGTCACGCCGATTTCTTCCCATCATCATCATCATCAACATCATCATGAACTGGCCATTCAGCTTTTTTTTTGTGTCGTTTTGCAATCTTTCAAGTCGTTTCCAGTGATTCATGCAGTTTTTATGCATTCCCTGCGATGACATCAATTACAACAATTTGTTTTGTTTTTTTATGTAGATCTTTTTATAACGTATCTCTATTAAATGTGCTGTATATATATATATACACATTGTTTTACGCTTACATTTTTTACGCACATTTTTTGTACCCAAGCAAAAGCACAAATTTCTTATGAATAAGATGTAAGCTAAGATTGATCTCTTGCCGCCTTCACAGATAACAACGAGTCGGAATCAAAGCCCACGGCTGCCGTTGAGCATTTGGAAAGGATTTGTGAACGCCTGGAAACGCTAGTCGATCGCCTGGAGCATACGCTAATAGCGCCGCAGCCAGCAGAGCTAAACACAAAGTCAGAGCCAGCACCACCTGCACCAACTACACCAACTTTGCCAAGCCAACCAGCATCAGTTGCAACTGCAGCAGCAGCGCCCAGCAGCAGCAATAGCATGAGTGTCGCCGGCTTTGAGGATATTATGGCCGGGCCGCTGAGCCAGTATCTGGCGCTATCGGCCAAAATTGGCGGCGATGTGGCCCAGCATGCCCAGTTCGTCAAGGCAGCCTTTGAGTAAGTAGCAACAGCAGCATTTCTCACATGTCTCTCATTACCCTTCATTTTGTAGCGCCCAATTGCGTTATGTGACGCTGGCCACGCAGATCGCTCAGCCGGCGCAGGCCAAGCAAATGGAACTGTTGCAGCCAACATCGACGCAAATTAGCGCCATTCAGGATTTCCGTGAGAAGCATCGCTCCTCCGCCTTCTTCAATCATTTGTCGGCCATTAGTGAAAGTATACCCGCCCTGGGCTGGGTGTGTGTATCGCCGACACCCGGACCGCACGTCAAGGAGATGAACGATGCGGGCCAGTTCTATACGAATCGTGTGCTCAAGGAGTGGAAGGAGAAGGATGCCAAGCACGTGGAATGGGCACGCGCCTGGATCCAAACGCTGACCGAACTACAGGCCTACATCAAGCAGTATCATACCACGGGCCTGGTCTGGTCTGGCAAGGGTGCAGCACCAGCCGGTAAAGCTCCACCACCGCCACCACCTGGCGGTCTGCCACCACCACCACCGGTGCTGGATCTGAGTGCTCTGAAGCTGGACAGCGCTGCCGATGATCGCAGCGCGCTCTTTGCGCAAATCAATCAGGGCGCCGACATTACCAAGAGTAGGCGCAACAATTGTTGATCCCCTAAAATGCCAAAATTAACCACTTTATGCTTACAGATCTGAAGAAGGTAACCGGCGACATGCAAACGCACAAGAATCCATCGTTGCGCACTGGCCCCGCGCCCTTCAAGACGCCCGCCAGCAGCAGCGGAAGCACAGCTGGTCGTGCCAATGCGCCCGCCAAGGAGCCCGTCTTTACGCTAGATGGCAAAAAGTGGCTAATCGAGTATCAGAAGAACAATACGGGCTTGCGTGTGGAGAATGCCGAACTGAGCAATGTGGTGTATATGTACCGTTGCGAGGGCTCCACTCTCACCGTCCGGGGCAAGGTGAACAACATTGTGATGGACTCGTGTAAAAAATGCTCGCTGCTGTTCGATTCGGTTTTGTCCTCCATTGAGTTTGTCAACTGCCAGAACATTCAGATGCAGGTGTTGGGCTCGGTGCCAACTATTTCCATTGACAAGAGCGAGGGCTGTCAAATGTATTTGTCCAAGGATTCGCTGGGTGTGGAAATCATTAGCTCCAAGTCATCGGAGATGAATGTACTTCTGCCAGAGGAGAATGGTGACTATGTAAGTGGCAAAAATGCAGCTCATATTTGGAATTAGTTTTGCAATAATATTATCATACATTTTGCAGGTCGAACTGGCTTTGCCGGAGCAATACAAGACCTTCATCAATGGCAAAACCCTCAAGACTGTGTGCTTGGACAGTCTGGGTTAATGCCGGCGTCAAATCTGGAATCCCAAGGGCGACGTTGATTGCTTTCGAAAGGAAAAGAAACAAAACAAAAACAAATATATCCAACCCAAAGGCAGACCGCATTCAGCTAATTGAACTGGTTGCAGCAAAGCTAAAATAATCTAATTTTAAGCGCAGAGTTTTCGTGTTTATGTGTATTTATCATTTTTGTAATGTACGAGAATTTAGAAAATGGTTGCCAAATTTCTGCTGCGAGCGCTTTGGGATAAAAGTATTCACATCATTTTTGCATAAAAACAAAAACAAAACATATATACATATATATTTATTTTCTAATGCAAGAAGCAATGCAACGTGACCCGAACGAGAATCCAATTTGTATTAATATATTTAAAAATTAATGAAAATAATGCACGAAACTTTGTCAACATTTTAAGCAGACTTTTCATTCAATTAAATAACTTTTGCACGCATCTGGAGATGATCAGAATAAAAGCAAGTACTCTTTTATATTCTATTTAAATAAAATTTAAACATTTTTTTATTAAATAAAAAAAAGGAAACGTGTTTAATTTATACATTATTTATATATATATATATATATTATTCAATTTTCCATAATTAAGCCAAGATCAAGACAGATCGGATCAGTGCGTGCACAAGCGTGAGGCGGAATGAATTTGCTGCTAATACTTGGTTATATCTTCTTGTACTCAATGCGCTCCACCTTGACCTCGTCGCCAATCAGTTGGTACACATAGGTGACCACCGTTGTGCTCTGTATGTCCATCAGCACAAATGAGGGCACCACATTTGTGTCCAGAGGATTGAAGGCGCCCGTCGCCGAGCCGGGATTTATGTAGAACTTATTGCCATGCTCGTACGCCTCAAACTTGTACGTATGCCCCGTTATGAGTATATCCACATCCAGCTGGCGTTGGATTAGTGCCAGAGCCTCCGGATCACCACGCGGCACCACTTGGTGACCATGGCACAGGCCAATACGAAATTGTCCCACTGTCACAACCTTTTGCTCCGGATAGCTGAGATTCTCATCGAAATCGCCGCGCACTATGTGCACGTCGTTGGCCAGCGATTTGAGATAATCATACGACTCCTTGGTGCAGATGTTTCCGGTGGCCAATATATGATGTATCCGACCGGGCACAAGCAGCTTTTTGAACTTTGCCGGCAGACTACTGCAACGGTGAGGTATATGCAAGTCGCCAAGTACTAGTACAAGCATTTTACAGCTGTATTATGTTTCCTGTTTTTAAGCCCGGATGTGATACGTATTTAATGCGTTTTTTATCAACAAAAGCTGGTGAAACGCCCAGTAAAATTTCAGAGCTGACAAGAACAGCTGTATTTTGTGCACGCGTTTCCAGTTGAATGGCAAAATAAAATTCGAAGCAGTGGCAACCCTGGCGCGAGCGAAGCGCATAATGCACGAGGTAACGATCTGTAAAACACACAAATACTGCCAAATGACGGCACATTTAAATAACATCGAATCGCGTTCTCAATATAACGCAACTGTATAATATTATATAATAAAAAAGAAGGATAACATGTTGATGTTAATAACTGGTGCAATTAAACCTTTTTTAGCCGCTGCTCTGAGCGCTCTGAGAGCGTGTGACGTCATAAATTTTAAGCAGCTTGCATTGCGAACTCTTGCGCAACCTTGCAGCCTTGCAGCAGCATTGACACAGCGTTTTATTTTGCCGGCAAAATGGACGCAACGGAGGTAGCAGCAAATAAAGAAGGTATTTATTATAGTTAAATTTGATTTAAATTCAACTAATATTGTGCAATTTTAGCCGAGGCAAGTGTTGATCTGTTGGCTATTGTGCTGGACACGAATCCCTCACAGCAGATTGTGCGCCAAAATCCACAAAATCTGACACAAATTCTAGAGGCCGTCATCGCCTTTGGCAATGCGCATCTCATGCAAAAGGCCCAAAACAAATTGGCTGTAATATCCTGTTCGCATCATGCCACGTAAGTCTGATGCAGGTGTGATAGTAAGTGAAATAATTGTTGCGATATTCCAGCGACTTTCTGTACCCGCTGCCTGGGCGGCAAGTGGAGCTCCGGCAGATTGATGGCCAATATGAGGCATTCAGCTTGGTGGAGAAGACAGTGAAGCAACAATTGGGCAGCATACTAATGAATGCGCCACGCCTGAGCGCATCCTGCGAGAGTCTACTGGCTGGCAGCATGTCCATGGCGCTGTGCTACATATCCCGCGTATGTTGCAAGAACTCCCAATTTAATTACTTTTGCTTATTGTTTAATAATTAATTGTGCTTTTGCAGCTGCAACGCAATGTCGCCGCTGGCGTCAAGATGCACTCACGCATTTTGGTGCTCACGGGCAGCAATGAGTGCGCCTCACAGTATATGACCTATATGAACGTGTTCTTTACGGCCCAAAAGCTGGGCATTGTCATCGACACCTGCGCCCTGGACAAGACACTCAGTCTGCTGCAGCAGGGCTGTGACATAACCAATGGCCAGTTCCTCAAGGTAACCCAGCTGGATGGCCTGCTACAGTATTTGCTATGGGTATTCTTGCCATCGCCCCAAATGCGTCACAAATTGGTGCTACCACCGACCCCAAAGGTTGACTATCGCGCCTCGTGCTTCTGCCATCGCGAGCTCATCGACATCGGCTACGTTTGCTCCGTCTGCCTGTCCGTATTCTGTAAATACAGTCCCATCTGCACCACATGCCAGTAAGTGGATCTTTAAACAATTGCCCGACACAATCTTTAGATATTCGCCTTAAATGCTTGCAGCACCATCTTCAAGATGCCTGGACCACTGCCCGTTAAGCCCAAGAAGAAAAAGAAGACTGAGAAACAAATGTGAGCGAACATTTTAGCTCTTTTATTATTTCACGCTACTCGGGTTCAAAACGTTTTATATAAATGTCAAATTAATACAGATACCTGCATATGATTATAAGCTTCTGTTACCCGGCATTGGGCTGTTGTCTGTATCTGAGGGGCATCCCCGATACCTCAAAGGGATCTAGTCATGTCCGTCTGTGTGAGCGCGTCTCTCTTGGAAAACTCATGAGCTAGAGCCTTGAGCTTTGAAAGATATTTTCCTATTTAAATGCATTAATCACTTTCTCTCTCGACAAATGTCTGTTTTGAGCATAAGGAGAAAGGAAACCCAAGCTTTTTGGGAAGTTTCTCCTATACGTTTGGGGTATATCTCCTCCCTTTAAGAAGAAAACTCGTAATCGCGTAACAAATATTGAATTTTTCCTTTAATGATGTACATTATATAATTTGATATCACCTAAGAAGTTTTCTGCTGTGTCCAAACGCTTCAAGTGTTCCGGGTTATTTTACTGAAATACATTGGTCCGAAATTGGCGGGTAAATAGGGTAAAACCATTTGGCCATATTTCAAGCCCTTGGGCTGCTCGAATCTGTAGATATCGCTGAATAGTGCTGTGTGCTGGCTGAGATCCCTGATGCGCGCGGTAATGCCATGCTCGGTGAATACCTTTTGCAGCGCCATGTGAACGACGCCATCGTTTTGCACCGGCGACAGCGAGCACGTGGAATAGACAAGACTGCCGCCGGGTTTGAGCAGGCGCAGGCAATTGGCCAAGATGCCCGCCTGCAGTTCGGGTATGCGTAGGCGTTCCTTAATCCGTGTCGGTTTGAAGATATTGTTGTCCCGATGCATTAGCACATGCCTGTCCGTGGTGCAGGGCACATCCACCAAAATCTTGTCATAGCTGCCATACTCATCCAGATTGCGTGCATCGCTCTGGCTGAAGATCAGACGTTTGCCCGCCCAGCGTTGTTTGTAGTCGAACAGGTACTCCTGCATGACGCGTCGCAGCTTGTTTAGCCGCGACTCCTGCACATCGTTGCACACCAGCTGATCCAGGTGGAGGGTCTGCAGCATCAGCAAAGATTTGCCTCCGGGCGCTGCACAGGCATCGAGCACTCGCTCGCCGGGCTGCACTTGCAGGAACAGCGGCGGCAGCACCGAGGCGCCATCCATCAGAAAATGTGAGAGGACACCGGTTAGACACTGACGCGGAGGCTTGAACTCGGCACAGTTGCCTATCTCATAGGTGTAGATGGCCAGGTGTTCCGGATATTGGAATATGGCTTCGGGCTCAATAATCAGCGGAAAATCTGTGCTAGTTTGATAATATTTGTAATGCTCCGATTCGGGCACCCAATCCTCCATGCCCTTGATGGTGCTGGCGGGCACATACTCGTACAGGCCGCCCGTGCCAAATTGTGGATCCACCAAACGACTCGAATCCAATTGCACATCCTGCTCCAAAGCTCTGGTCAAGCTCTGCTTGAACTCCGCCTGCTTGCTGCCGCTTCCTGGCTGCTCCTCCTGGACGTTGTTGTTGTTGCTGTTGTTGTTCTTCTCATAGTTGAGCTGCTGTGGCGGCACATGTCCATCCTCTGCTGCACTGGGATAGATGGCAGCGACCTCGCGTTCCTGTTGCTTGCGCAGCAGCGCACCGAGCTTATCGTCGATTTCGTAATGAGCACGCGTTTGCTGGCGCTGCAGACTGTGCTCCGTGCCGGTCTCCTCGCGTTCCCGTGCCAGCTGTATAAGGGATTTGATGTTTATGGCACCGTCCAGCTCCAGCATGCTGCATGTTTGCTCCGTGTCACCGAAATTGTTCACCATGGCAACATATTTGTGCTCTGTTAGCAATGCGGCACGCATATTTTTCCAACGTCCGCCATACACGGAACCGTAGAAATCGTCAAAGCTTTCCAGTGCGCGATCGCAATTGTTCTTCTTATGCTGCAGAACATTCCAGCGCCGTTTGCCGCTCTTCCAGCGCCTTTGCAGCATGCAAATGTTGCGTATTTTCAACATTTTGCGGAGCCGGCGGCAGTTTCACTTGGAGCGACAGGCACCAGAGTTGTGGCCGCACCAAAAGCCACAAATTTTAAATTGTTGTGGGTTTTTTTTTTTTATTATATATTTTTGTCTATGGTTTTAAACCGACATAGTGGAAAATTAATCCAAATTTTGGCTTGGTTTTGTGTGTAAAATAAGTAATTTAATTTAATTTGATTGCCATTATCCAGAACAAAAGTCAAATGTTATCGATAACATCTGAATGAATGGCCGACAGTTGCTTTAATCGAACTTAAATTTTCGTTCAATTAAATGAACCAAGTTCAATTTCTTGCATCACAATGAACTAGTGAATCGCCTCAGCTAGCTCCTGTTAGGCCGCATTAGTTCGCTGTTATGCTTATGTTATCTTTTTTTTTTTGACACAAGCAGCCGTTAAATTCAAATACAAAACGCACGTTACATTTTATTTTTAAAATGCCGTTTTAATTTTTACACAATACAATTGAAATTTGTATATTCTTTAACAAACCGCCTTCAAAAAATACTTATCCATGCCCAATTATAAACTATATTTTTCAACAATCTGCGACAGGCAAGGCTCACTTGATTAACCAATATCCCAACTGCGTTAGTAAAGAAATTAGGCTCAAAGCCATGCAAACGATAAAAATATGGTTTTTATAAGCTAAAAACTTCGAAATCTTGAACTATTCATCATTCTACGGTTGTTGTACACCCTTGCCAAATACCAAATCGTGGCAATGAAGATGCTTCAATGCTATTTAAGAAAACAATAATTATCAAAACATTATTTTAGAATTAATTCGATATGACACTTACATTTTCTTCGGTAATAAATCCAACCAATTGCGGCACAATGATGCCCGGTAAAGTAGCAACAATATTCGTCAAAGCCATCAAAGTGCCAGCAAAATTGGGGTTGTTTCGATGTTATTCGATAGGAAGCCACAAAATATGGCGCCCATGCTGATAATAACTAGACACATAATAGCTACAGCCACATAATGCAGACATCCAATAAAACACAATCGATGGATCGTTCCATAACTCAGATTCATACCTAAGCTTCACGTTCAGTCCGTAGACAATGGGCCCTGCCGATATTAATAAAAATTTCTGTTTCGTTTTCCCTCATATTTTTTGACAGTCATATAATATAGTAGCTCGATTTGGAAAAGACTTGCTCAGTTCGCTTGAGATATTCATAAACCCACGCTTTGAATTACCTCTGAAACCTTCCAATATTTTGAACCCATCCCTTTATGATCGTATAAGCAGAGACCCATTAGCCTTGGTACAATATCATTTTATTTACTCTGTATGCGGTTAAACTTGTGAATTCTTGTCGTTTGTTAAGTACATTTTGGTTAGGCGGTTAAGCATAGACGTAATGTCCATAGACGCACAGATACGAGTATACCTAATAATTACAGGATAAACTAAAAACTATAATTGGTATTTGTAGTATTTACAGTCCAGGGCGATAGTTCGGTGCTTCAACTACACAAAATTCAAAATTCATGCAAATGAAATGCAATATGCGGCTGGCAATTATCTAGCGAGATTACAAATTTATGGCTTTAGCGGTGCATTAACATCCTTAAGCGGTGTCTTCTCATCCTTGACCTCAGCCTCCTTCTGGGCACCAGATCTGTTCCACGATTGCTCAGCACCCGAACCGAATATGGCGAAGACCAAGAACTCCAGCGCGAACAATACGATCGTAACGCCAAAGATGATGCGCCAGGCGCTAATATTTTGCTGCAATACAAAATAGAGATTAGGATAACTATTTCCAGTTACGTATAGTAACACCTACATTTCCATGGGTGACAAAGCCAACGAAAAGCGGCACCACAATGCCAGGCAAGGTGGCAGCAGTGTTGGTCAACGCAACCAAAGTGCCAGCAAAGTTGGGCGCGATATCAATGTGATTGGACAGGAAGCCAGAGAACATGGCGCCCATTGCCACAATACCCACAGACATGATGGATACGGCCTCATAGTGACGGCAGCCGATATAGCACAGGATCAGCAGGCATATGCCCGGTATAATGGTACAAATCGAGGTGGCCGTCTTTCTAGCGCAAGTTGTGCTTACTTTACCTATAAAACAGATGAATTCCTGATTAGAAGAGATCGGAGCAAAGGATATGGATATGGATATGGATATGGATATGGATATGGATATGGATATGGATATGGATATGGATATGGATATGGATATGGATATGGATATGGATATGGATATGGATATGGATATGGATATGGATATGGATATGGATATGGATATGGATATGGATATGGATATGGATGCGGATAAGATTGTGGATATGGATATAAATGTGAATATGGATACGGATATGTAAAGTCAAGGATAGGCTTACCCTTCGCTTGCAGCGTGTCCAACACTTTGCCGAGTAATATGCTGAATATGATCATCGGGAAATAGGGGAGAGCGCTGAGTGCCGCATTGCTGGCCACATTGAACTTGAGCACCTGCTTCATGTAGAATGGAATCTCGATGAGGAACATGTACCAGCCAAAGTTGTTGCAGGTGTGCGCAATGAGTATGGCCCAGAATGGCACCGAGGTGAACACCTTTCCCCATGGCACCTTTGGATGATGTTCGACCTTTGTTTCGGTGCCCAGCGAGCTGGTGATCATATGCCGTTCCTCGGCGCTAATGAAGCGCTGCTTGTTGGGATTGTCCTGCACTAAGAATACCCACAGCACCATCCAGATGCAGCTCAGAGCGCCCATCACATAGAACACCGACTCCCAGCCCCAGGAGGCGGACAAGACGCCGGCCAGCAGTATGGAGAGTGCAGTGCCAGCCGATGTGCCCACATAGATGATGGTGGACATGACCATACGCTCTGTGGGCGGTGCCCAAGAGGCGATCATGACATGCATCGCCGGAAACGAGGCGCCGCCGCCCACGCCCTCCAGCACACGCATCACAATCAAGCCGCCATAATGGGAGGCAGTCAAGACAGGAGTCAACAGGGTGCACAGCACATTGATGGCCACCGAGAACAGCATGACCCACTTGGCCGAAAAGTTCTCGGCCACATGAGCCAATGGTATCTGCGAGACCAGATAGCCCCAGAAGTAACAGCTCAGCAGCGTGCCCTGCAATGGTTCACTCCAGCTGAAGGGTCCGTCCTGTAAAGAGATTGGGAATTGGCATTGCAATTGGCGGCAAGTGATTTGGCGGCTGGCGACCTACCTCAACCTTGGCGGTGACATTGGTGGCGCCACCTGGTGGCGAGCACTGCTCGACGGGATTGCTCTCGCTGGTCGTGGCATTCGCAATGCTATGGTGACCGGCTGACTGCTGCTGCAGCTGGTGTATGGCCGTGTGGTTGACCATGGCGACCATGGCCACGCTGAGATTCACCTTCAGGCCGTAGACAATGGCCATGCCAATGGAGCCGAGTATGGCGAGCACATAGCGTGCGGGCACCAGTTCTGCAAAGAGCCAAATTCCGGCAGTCGATTAGTTTTGGGGTGGGTCAGGGAAATGTGTCTTTTCTTTCCTTTCTTTTCGTTTTCCTATTAGACCCACGATTGGAGCTGCTGCCGGGCAATTACGGCCGCTCCCCGATAACAAATTGAAATTTTTATGGTATTTATTTTCAATTTGAAATTCTCTTCTGCCAAAGACCCGGCGACAAATTGATGGCAAAACAAATTAACGTTTCGCAATTGTTCAGTCGTTATCGCAGCGACGCGAAATATCACAATTCCATAGTTTTTATATTGCTCCGATAGCGATAGCAGGGGTTAGGCGATTTGTACTTTAAATTTAAGAGCTAACACCTAAAACACAACTAAATCCTAGACAGTGCGAAATTCAAAAAGTTGCTGAGTGGGAAGGCAAAGCTAAAATGAAGAGAGTTTTTACTTAAATCAAGCACGAAGTTCTTATTTCTAGCACATTTTTCCAATATTTTTTTTCTATAAATTAAATAACATCTGATTATGTGAGCCTTTTATTGAAAATTTGCTTGATTCATGAATTTTCTTACTTTAAGTAAGATATTAAGCTCTTTTTAAGAGAATTTAAGTTTCACGACAATTTCTTATCCTATCTTCCATTAAAACTTCGACTGCTGCAAGTATAAGCTATGTGAGCTTTTTTTGAGTAATCGAAAGTTCTTAAAACAATTCCAACAAAAACGTTTTAATCATAAATTTGTTTACTTTAAGCAAGATATTTAGTTCTTTTCTAAAGAATTGAGGTTCTTTATTTTAATGACAATTGCCTTGCGATCTTTCGTTAAGACTTAAAGCTCTGCAAGTAACTTATTAAGCTTACTTTAAGTAAGCAACAATTCTTAAAACAATTCAAAAAAACTCTTTAATTAAGTCCAATTCCTTTCAAAAATTTGAAAATATATAAATCCCAAGACCAGGTCTAGTAATAGATAAGATCTTAAAGCACAGAAAAAATGTAAAATCGAGAAAATCCTTAAGATTGAGAATCGAAACTAATTGAATTTGGTGGAAGCAAAAGGAAGATACGAACTTAAAAGTTGCTTAAGAAAAGATTTAAATGTTGAAATGAAAATAGGCGAAATGAAGAGTTGGGTATTATGTGAATTACAAGGAAACGTCTGAGAGGTTGAATAGAAAGATAAAGTTAAAGATAAAATGCTAAGGATTTGAAAGAAGAAACTAACTCGGAAGTACCCATATGCAAGGCTTAAGCCTAAGATATGGAAGCCTTATGAAAGCATAAGAGAAGAGTTGGGTACAAACTTAATAATTGACTTAAAGACAGCTCAAGGAAAAATGTGAGGAGAAATGGGGAACGGAAACTGAAGTGAAAGCATACAGATAACGGTCGCATCAAGTGCTTTCACCTGTGCCCAAAATAACAACCGCAATTATAACAATTTTTTGACATGTTTCAATCAGAAGGACAACATCGATTATATATATATATATTCGATGAGATAAAGCGTTGTACACATTAATTTCAATATCAATTTGTTGGCCTAGGCAAGTGGGCGCAATCTGTGTATTTTGGCAGAGTTTGAGTAAATCAGAAGGCAATTTGTGGGCGCTGACATACAAATGACCTTCAGGCGAGCTGTCAATCGGACATCATAAATTTGTAAATTTTATTTCCCAGATATAAACAGAAAAGTTTATTTTTTTTTCGCACAGGAGCAAAAGCACATACAAAATTTGGGCGCGTTCTATAAAAAGCCGCCTTATAGTTAGCTGAAAGGATAGCAAAGACACACACATACGTATACACACACGCACATACACACACACACACACGTGCGCGTGCGACCTTTGTGCTGCCTTTGAGGTCAAATAGGCCCAAAGACGCCGCATTTCGACCATGCGGCAGTGCGTTTCATCAGGTAAAGCCCACGGCCACGCCCACTCGCCCACTGCAGCCCGGTTTTTCTTTTCCCGGCGACACTTGTTGCACTTGCACTGGCTGATGCACTCGGCACATGCATTGGCGAAATCTTGCGCACACATATGCCACAATTGTTAGTTGGAATTCTAGAAATTGTTTCTTTCGTTTTTGGCGATCCACTTACTGCCCAAAATGCTGCCCTTGGCGGGCACTTCCTCGGACATGATGAAGAGCGTCTAATAGTTTAGTCAAATATGACAAGTTTATGTATATATATATATATAGAAATATGTTGCGATTTGTGAACTGTGAACTGTGTAAGTGCGACGCGTGCGTTGCCAGAGGCAGCTGCCCAACAACTGAACTCGTTGCTGGATTCCCATTTCCGACGACGCGATATTTTCGGTTTATTTCGTTGATTTTGTGTGCGTGTGTGTGTGTGCGTGTGTATCTGTGTGTCGCGGCGGCTCCGGGTCTCGTTTTGGGGGCTGGCACCGGCCTTTGGAGTGTGCGTGCCTGTTGGCGCGCGCCTTGCCTTAGCTGCCAGCTGTGGAGCTATTGTATCTTGTATTCGACTAGTTTTTTTTTTTTGGTACAACATTTTGTCCTCCCACTTCCCCTGCGCCCGCACGCAACGCTTGCCCCTCCCCCCCACCGCTTACCACGCGCTTTGCGAGCATAGCTGCCACATTCCACAAAATATTTCACATTCATTCCAATTGGTTGCGTAGTACAAGCTGTCGGGTTGTTGTCTTGGCTAAAGGTGACTTTGCTTGCGCCATGCTAAAAAGTTCAATTAAGTTAATACCCTGTATGTAATTGATTAAAGGGTGTTATGATTGAGCTTTTTGTAAGGGGAATTAAAATTGAAGAGTTGAAATGAGTTCAAAAATTAAATATATTTTAGAGATATATATTCTATATGATCGACATATAGCTTTCATATAGAGTATCCAATTTTATAAATATATTATGAAAAAAATATATAAATATATTATGAAAAAAGTATATAAAATTATTACGAAAAAAATATATAAATATATTAGGAAAAAAGTGAAAAAAGTAGCAAAATTTTTATAAAAAAAACACATATCTCATTGCTCAAATGAAAAAAAATGTATTAAATTCATGAACTCAAGAAAGCCGTTATCAACTTTTCCGTAAAGGGTATTTAATAGTCACAACAAACACATAAAATTTCCAATTGCCATTCATGAATGGCAAAAGTTATACAACGAAATGTATGTATATATTTATAAACAAATAGGTGAACTGTTTAAATGAAATACCCAAAAAAAAGTTGCTCAGTTAAATTTACCAAATTTTCGAATACAATTGTTTGGACTCAAATTCTGTGTATATAGCACAATTAATTAGATATTCAAAACGCGTGCATAAAATAAATATAAATTGGCCTAAACGAAAAAAAAATACACTTGTATTTTTTTTCGTTTTACGAAAAACTTGTCTCGTTATACCCTGAACCCATTAAAAATGGGTATAAGGGTATATTGTATTTGTGCAAAATCCAAATTTATGTAACAGGCAGAAGGAAGCATCTCCGACCCCATAAAGTATATATATTCTTGATCAGCATCAATAGCCGAGTTGATCTAGCCATGTCCGTCTGTCTGTCCGTCCGTCCGTCCGTCCGTCCGTCCGTATGTATGAGTCAAAGGATCTCAGAACCTATAAGAGCTAGAGACTGAAATTTTAGATGTAGATGCTCCTAGTTCCCGCGCAGATCGAGTTTGTTTCCGATAATCGATAACTTACTCCGTTTCCAAGCAATCGATAAAAATCGATATCGATATCCTGTTTCTTGGGCAATTTTGGTAAATAATAAGAGCTAGAGTCACCAAACTTGACATATAGCTTCTAAAATAGAATATATATATGCATTTGATGTTGGAAGAAGAGGGTTCAGGGTATACCCTAGTCGGGAGCTCCCGACTAGAACCTCTTGTTTTGTTTTTGTTTAACGAAAAACTTGTCTCGTTTGTGCTTTGTGCTATAATTCTCGCTTACATATCTAAAATTATTTGTTAGCTTCTGTTTTAAATCTGGTTTGCAGCTAATTTGTGCTTGTAATTAGCGGCAAATTTGATGCTCGTCCCATGACAGAGGTGCAAATTGTTCTGCCCAACTTGCGCTGATCGTTGAAGATAGATATATATATATAGACACAGATATATACAGAATGTTTTGATTATTAAAATGAAAATGAGAAAATACCATTTAGCAATGGAATAAATAATAGCTAAAATAAACATTTTTTTTTTGTTTCGTGTTTGATTAACAAGTATTAGAAGATTCTGTTCCATAATTAGAATGTTTGCTTGCTTTGGAATAGATGGAAAACTTTTTGTTTTAAACAATATGCAATAAGAATATTAAAATTTAATTTTCTCAGCCAGCGCAGAGATCTTAAATATATACAATATTTTATACGCTTATATCTCATTTTGCAAAAAAATAATTTTTTATTTTATTTTATTTAAAATTTAAGAAAAGATTAATTTCATTTAAAATTGCCCAAAAACAATTTTTTTTCTAATGATTATTTTGTTTTATTTTAAATTGACAAAAGTAATATTTATAAAATTGACAACAAATTATTATTTCATTTTTTTATAATAACAAAAGCTTTTATTTATTTTATTTAAACTCACACAAAATTAGACGAACTGAAAAACTTGGCTGAAAAAAATTAAAATTTTTTTTCAATGTATTAAAAGTTTTTGGGTTAGAATATATTTTAATAATATTGGTATTTTATTTATTAAAGGATAAATACCTATAGAACATATTCTACAGTTAAGTCTAAAAAATATTGTCATTATTTTAAATAATTTAGTGCAGTGCAAAAGTTTCTTTTCGATTATTTCGGTATATTTAATAGGTGAATTTATAATTTAAATTTTTATTTTCATTTTATTTTATTATTGGTAAATTTTTAAATGAAATATTTCAGTGCAAAAGTATCTTTTGCCAATGTTTCTTTGAGTTTCTGCTTCTCCAACTCCTGAAATATTTACTTTAATATAGATTTATTTAAGAGGTTGCTTATATTTATAAAATTAATTTTTTTTTTTAATTTTCAATTTCAAACGTATCTTTTCCCAATGTTCCTTTGGGTTTCTGGATTTACCACTCCTAGAATATTTTATTTTATCATAGGTTTATTTAAAAAGTTGTTTATGCGTATAAGTTCCATTTTAATTTAGTTTTCGTATTGGTAAATTTTTAAATGAAATATTGCATTGCAAATGTATCTTTTGCCAATGTTCCTTTGGGTTTCTGGTTACCCAACTCCTGAAATACGGCAGTATTTGCCAACAGATCAACTTAAAAGCTGGCCCAGTTTTCCAGCTTTCATCATCATAATGATGATGATGAGGCTGTTGATGATGATGATGATGATTTGGTATGCAAATGCGTCAACGTTTAAGTACGGGAGTTGTCAGATACCCGGCCTACGCGTCGGGCTTAACTGCCGGTCGCACATGGCAGACGCCAGAGCTTCTACATATAGAAATACATATTAATGGCTTCAGTTGTTGTTGTTGTTGTTGTTCCTGTTGTTGTTGTTGTTGTTGTTGTCGCTACTCTTGGCTGATGTTTGTTTTATTTTCATTTTTGTTGCTGTACTCGCATTTTTTATTTGTCTTTTATCAGCCTGTTTCCATATGGCATATATATTGTGCGGGGCGTAGCATGGTCAAGGGGGTGCGGGGGAGGGGGGGGGGGGGGGGGGGGGCTATGCACATTTTGAGTAATTGAAAGCCGCACTCATCCAAATGAACTGCTAATACGTATATCAATATTGGAATACATTTGCATGTGCCCATAGTTGAATTTGTTTTGGGCTATTTAAAGCGCAATAACACAGGGTATTCGATATTCGTTCAAACTGCGCTAACATTATTATTTACTTTAACCAATTCTGCTGCAGTTTGTTTGTTTACGTACCACAGTGACGGCTCTATGGGCCATTACTTGCCCATAGATCCGGGACATGGACATGCCTGTTGGGTTCTATGCCTCGCTGACGGCTCGGCCCAGCGCATTGTCCAGCATTGTGCCGCATGTGGCACAGCATTTGGCTGATATTTGTGAAGAGAAAAAAACAAAAAACAAAAACGAAAAACAATTTATGCTTTTTAGTTTTGAGCAGACCAAATTGATTTTTATTGAAATTTTGCACACAGTTTCAATAAAAATGTTTGAGCGCCAATATTTCATTTGATCTATTTAATTTCGTTTAGCTGTTAATTGGCATTCATTGAATTGCCTTCCAATTTTCATTTCTTAAACTCTTCGTTTTTTTAAGGCAATTCACAACAAAAATGCGTGTGCTATATATAAATTTAATAAATGGGTAAATGGGGTTGGATAGACAAACATCTTAGATGAAGTTAGTTTGCCTCGGTTTGAAGATCCACTTTGAAGATATATTGACTATTTATTTATAAAACTATTGTTCATTTTTATGATCAACATTAAGATATCTTGCATAATTGCCACATCACTAGCTTCTTTGTCGAAACATCTAATAGTTCATTCTATTGAAATTATGAGAAATGAATTTACAGGGTATTTCGTAGGCAGTCAAAACTGTTCTCTACTACTCGTTGACAACAAAATTCGATGTGTATTTTGATTGTGCGTAGTTGTTGCTGCGCCATTTGTGACGTCATTGATTTATGAACAACATAAGAAAAAGCCCTTCAGAATTGCCAAATCAATGAATGAATCAATGAATCAAGTTTAACATGTGGCGATTGGCTAATTGTTGTAATAGCTTTCGCACGTTTCATTAACTGAATATTTATTTTATTTTATGAGCTAGTTAAAAAAACGTAAGGTTAAGTCTAAATCTGTTACCGCAAATACCTTTAGTTTATTTATGGTAATTTCACTGAAAAGCTTTAAAAAACATTATGCATACATACATTTGCAATATGAATGCGCTCACAAATCAATCATATTTTAATGATAATAAGGTTTATTCATAGACCTGTGAGTAAATTGCAGCTGCATGAATATGAAGTATGTATAAAGCAAAGTGCGCACAGACCCACTCAATTATCGGCGCTGATAATGAATATATATTTACTTAATTGTATTTAAATGGGCTGCAAATGACACTTAACAGGCGCATGTTATTTAACAGCTGCACTGTAATGTGGCCAGCAGCTAAAACTGTTAAGCGTTAACAGCATGCTATTTTCGATTCTGTTAATGAATAATTAAGGCATTTTAATTGAGGTTTTCCAAACCAAAGATATATTTATTTAAATGAATCATAAATCAGTTTTATACGTAAAACC